AGGGATTTAAAAGCTGTGTAGATGTGGTGCTTAGGGACATGGTTTAGTGGTTGGACTGGCAGTGTGAGGTTAATGGTTGGACTTGATGATCTTAAAGGTCTTTTCCAACCTGAATGATTCTATGATTCTATTGATTCACTTAAAATATTCAGAAAAAAAGATAAGGGATAACTTCCTAGTAGTCTTTGACTGCACAGAAAGATATGTAAATAAACAAACTCAGGTAATAAATAAAATGTTTGTTGTCTTTGTTTGTCTTCTTTGTTTGTTTTAAAAGTGAGAGGTACTAACCACTCGATGAAGTTACCTTGACTTCTGGTGGATTTTCTGTCCATTCGGTTCTTTGAGTCAAGAGCTGTTACTTTTCTAAGTACAAAATATGGGCCGGCTCCAGTGAAATTCTGTCATCTGTGTCAGGCAGGCAGTCAAAATTATCATAATGACCCCTTCTTAAAAAAACTATCAATCCGCAGTTATTTTGTTACTTTGAAAGTGAAAAGGTAGCAGTTAAGTAGATCCCCACGGTGTGGGTTCTCAGTGTGTTAGTGTTGAACCCCTTGTTTGTTAGTTTAACACGTTGCTGTTTTGGAAGAAACTGTAAATTTTATTAGCGATAATTACAACATAATAAAAATTCCCAGCCTAGTTTGGAGAAACAGATGCTCAAAAGACCTACTCCTTTTTCATGGAATACTTTGCATATTCACTAGGGCCTAGGCTTTAGCTAGCACAAATTGGTTTAGCTCCAAAATCAATAAGCACTGAAATGTGCATCAGCTAAAGATGTGCCACCCATTTCTTTACGTTATATTTAGACATTTCCTAGATTCAGGCCCAGCGGGTAAAGAGAGGCAAGTCCTCTTTTATTAAAGTGGGGCGGAGGGAATAGTTTCAGAGTTGCTTGAATTTTATAATTTAATTCACCCAGGGCTGGACTAGATAGAGATGAAGCCCACGTGTCACATAGTTGCTGGGTGGCTGGGTATTCACAGGTAAGGTGCTCTCAAACCAGCCCTTTGAAGTTGTTCCACTTTGCAGGAAATAATTAAATGCTTACTGGATACAGCAAGTTAAAAAGAATGAGTTCGCTTCTATAATCCATCGGCTTGGGCACTCACCTGGGAGATGATTAAGAAGGTGAAAATCTAAACACTATTAGGAAGAAAAAAATTGAAAAGGAGCACTGAGGTGTCACTCAGATGTCTTTTTCTGTTGCTCTTTACAGGAACATTTTTGCCAGAGTTTGAATCCCCACTGAAAGAGCTCACTGTAGCTAATCCTCTGAGAGTGGCTATGTTTTCTAAGTGGGAAATGGATATAGGATAAACAGACAATCTGCTGTTGGCACACAGCCCTCTCTGCCACGGTGTAATAAAGTCTTATCATCTGCAGCGAGGTTCTTCAATGGCTAAGCTCCTTCTAAAGCTGAAGGAGAACTGAGCACCATAACTGGAAATCCGATAATGGCACCTATAAATAAAGGATTTCTATTTGCACAGTTAACAGCAAATGAAATTATATTTAGCGATTCAATACATTATTTAAAAAACATGGTTCACATACTGAGCTTTTTTGGGGAGAAGGCTTCTAGAAATGTTCATACTTGTTAAAACTTTTGTAACTTAAAGTGAAGCATGCTTTTACCATGGGATATTAAAGATCAGCTAATTAAAAGCAACAGGTGAACCAAGGACACCATGACTCTGACTTAATATAAATGGACCTTTCCTGAGAAATTCTGAAGGAGGCACTAAGGTGAAGAGCTGAGTGTCACTGGAAGAATAGACTATCACTGATCATTTTAAACCGTTTCAGCTGCTCAGTGTTAGCCTGTTAAATTTCTTGTTAAAAGACACGCAGCTTTTTTTGAGAACAAGTGGGTTTATTGTTTCTCTTTGATTACTGCCTCTCCTTTTTAAGAAATCTTACAGAAAAGATTTGATTAGAAATATTTCAATGATGTTTTTTCCAACACAGAGGAGTGGTTGGCTCGTTTGATGCCTGCTCTGTTCTTTTGGCGTTGTAGTGCAAACCAAATGTGTGAAACCCAAACTGAAACGTGATTATTCTGTTTTCATTGTCAAACTTAAGCCTAATGCGAAAAGTGAAATAAGATCAACAGGGAGAACCCAATTTAAGTTCCCTTTTGCCACTTTGGCTGCAGCCGAGTCATATTTGGCACCGATGAGCTGGTAGTTTCCGCATGCTACTTGGGGTAACCTCGTGGTATCTTTTGATTCCTTTTTGTGGGATGTATTGCACCTGTGGAGAGATTGCTCTTTTTCTTTTCCTGTCCCCGATGCTGTTTTCTCTCTGTGCTTCTGCTAGGAAATTCTGTGGTTAATCTGTCCCACATGGAGCCTTTTACCTGTCTATTTGCTCACGTGTACCCAGTTGATTGGTATGGCTTCCACTAAAATTGTTTGGAAGTAGGAGTGCTCACCACAAATGATTAAGATTGTTCTTAGTAGAAATAGCCACATCATATCGTGAAAGAAAATCCACTAGATTGTGGAAAGGCTTTGAGGAAAATTAGAGGTGAATCTGATAGGACCAGCAGCATTACCTCCTCGCTTTTCCTCTGAGGATGAATATTGATTTTAAATATGCTCTAGCTTCTAACAGTCTGTTAGCCACACATCTGAGGATTTTTTTTCTCGAGGTCAGGCTATAGTTCTCAGAGTAGCACCATTATTTCCTTATTCAGAGGAAAAGAAGAAAGCTGATTCTTTGAACTTCTGGATTAGTCAGAGCAGACAGTGTTGACAAGATGTAATTGCTGCTTCAATTGAGAGGAAAGGTAATGCCTCTGTTGTTTTGAAGTTCTTTAAGAAACTCTCTTGTGATCTAAAGCTAGTCATCTTAGACAAGCAATTTGCTCCTGAGTGATAAGAACCTTTCATAAGCTTCACATTGGCTTACAAAAAAAAAAAAAATTGAAGTCAGAAGCCACTCCTTAATCTCTTTTTAGTTATACAATGTAGGCTTGTGAGAGCTGGACAAATCACTGTCTGCTCTCCTTCTTTATCTCAAGCAGCAACAAAAGTCCTGACCTGGGCTTCAGCTAATGCAAACCCCATTGTTTTCACTGATAATACATATTAAACTATCAAATCTGGAATAAATTCCATCCCTGACCTAAGCTGACCATCAGCTCATGCCATAATATAGAAAGACCATTTCACTTTTTTCTTAAATCAATTATCTCTGACTTGTATTTTTATTCCACTAAATGCATGATCCCTTTCTGCTAACCTATCCTCAGAATTTGGCTTTGGCTAATGAGTTGCTTCCATGGACTTCAAGAGGCGTAGTGCATGTGGCAGAGGAATCGGGCCATCGTCTGCCTGGACAGTACCCTGGTGGACAGGGTGACATGGCTTTAGCTACAGGTTACACCAAACTTGTGTATTTTTGTCTTTTAATCTCAGTGAGCATATCTTTGTTGTAGTGTGAAGCATACCAGGTAGGAAGGAATTTGATTTTATCAAAATGTTCATTACAGATATCCCAGATGTGTCCCCTTTTACTCCTCTGCTTTCTAGACTAAATTTAGTCCCAGTCTTTTAAATCTCTGTTAACAGCTAGCTCACCCCTCTGTGCCTCATTTAGGTTTTCTTCATTTCAGGTGCCCCATTAACTGATGTAATGCTGTCATACTTTTCCCTGTTCTGTCTCTTTAATACATCCTAGCGTCCTTTTTGTTTCTTTCTAGTTTCTTTTTTTTTTTTTTTAAATTCAAATTTCTCTTAGTTCTGAATTAGTGTTTCTATAGAACACTCCTCTGTTGTTACTCTTCGTCTCTGATTTTTCTGGTTTAGTGACAGCTAATTCACAACCCATCACTGGGTCAGATTAAGCTGGTTGTTGCGCTGCGTGAAATTCAACAATTCTATTGAGTAAATCTGAAGTTTATGCTGCTATAAATGAAATAAAAACCTGAACTAGTGTGATCAAGGAGCTTATTGCATCCCCATCAAAAGGCAGATCTCTGTCCAGTTTACTTTTTTTACTATTTACTTATTATGAATTAACTGAAGAATAGGATATTTTTTCCCCATCTATGCATACATTATCACAACAAGTATGCCTACATTTATAAATTGTAAGATATATAATATTTATAAAGTATGAAGTATAAAATGCTTGTTTAGCATTCAGTGCAATGGACTTTCACCCTGAGGTGTTTGAGAACTCATCAATCTTTTGGTTACATTTGAAATGAATTATGTGGCCAGATCCTTTACATTTTGTGAAGCTGGGTCTCTTAATAATATTGTGAGTGATTATACACATAAGGAGTGAAAAAATTGTGCCCATAATGTAACTGAAAAACAGGAATAATATGTTTTAATGTGCTATAACCCCTGCTAATCTTCCTTGAACTTTATCTGCTGTCATAAAGTTCAGTCAGGCTCTCTTTGACTCTTTTTGAAGCCATTTGGCATCAGTGGTTTGGATGATGTGAAATAGTTTGAAATTATTTGTGTGATCTTGTGTAAACACACCCTTGAAATTTGTTTTTATAATCAATTGTTTTATCCATATCTTACCTCATGGAAATAAAGCCCAGTTTTATACTGTCAAGACAACTTAGACATACAAGTTCTCATATTTTAATGTTGTATTTAGAATATTTTGAAATATTTTACTAGTTGTCAGGTATAAATATTTAAGAGCTATTCATTTTTTTAAAATTTAATTTAATTCATTTTTCCTGTAAGCTGACAAACTTCTGTAATAATATCACTGTCTTACCTTATTGCCTCTCTGGATAGTTTATTTCATGATGGCTTTGTCCAAACTAGCAGACATCTTAGAGCTGACACATATATAAAATATTGTATAAAAAGGCTTAAGTGTAAATGGTGGTAAATCAAAACACCTTTAGGAATAAAAAGGAAAAGAAAGGATTGTGATTTGAATCTGAGATATAAAAAACGTAGATATGCTCTAGCTAATTGTCACTAATAATGTCTGATTTTATTTTGTCTTTTAAGGTAAAACTGGCCACACAGAGGCTGTACGAGTAGTATATCAGCCAGAAAACATCAGCTTTGAGAAACTGCTCAAGGTCTTCTGGGAGAATCATGACCCGACACAAGGTAGAGTGATGAGTGAGCCAGTATTTAATTATCTTACTAATTACAGCTGGGATAATTAGTGTTTGAGCTGCATGGAAGAGATGAACCTTGAAATCACACTGGAGCTCAAGAATATGATTGCAGACATTTATTGACAGAGAAAGAGAGGGAGCGAGAGAATGAGAGTACAGAAGCTCACAATACCCCTCCTCCTTTACAGCTGTCTGTGCTGGGAAAATTCCCACAGAGAGGCACAGTAGACAATAGAATTTTTTTTTTTTCATCTTGATTATGACAATTTCTTCTGTAATGCTATCTTTTGTCTCTTAAATTAAAGCATATTTCTTCACAGCTTCGGAGCTGGTCATTTTATTTGTGCCAAGGACCTTTATCCTTCATAAAAAATTTTGTTTGTTTTTTATATTTTTCAATGGCAGTGAATATCTTTTATGATTCGAAAAAGGAAACAAAAAGAGGTAAGAGATGGTGTGTAGAGGCGAAAGTAGAGCATTCTAGCTATTTACCTTATTCGAACCATTTGATTTAATATATCTTTCTTGGAAGAGTCTTCGTGATGACATTACACACATCTGTGCAAACATAAATGGGAAACTGTGTTGAGAAAACATTTTACATGTTTATATAGTTTCAATAAACATCATCCTTTCTACCATTTCCCAGAAATGTTACACACAGTAACTCATTTCAATATTTTAACAGCTATCATAATTATGACACTTGTTACTACATCTGGGAACAAAAAATGCAGATGATACCTTCAAAATGTGATACCATCCCGGGAAAAAGTAACTCTGGGAAAGATCCAGGGGTTATTGTGGATAAGTGTCTTCCAGTGATCCCAGACCACAATGCAAAGACAAAAACGGCTGTTGCAACTCCTGCTTATATGAAAAGGGAAGTCTTAGTCAGGAGCATGAAAGCTATTTTCTGTGTGCAGAGTCAGTAAAATCTCAGAACACTTAGTGCAGTTTCTCTGTGTACGTACCAGAAATTATACAGAGATATTGCTGGGGATTCAAAGGAGGGACAGAAAAAGGATTTAGAGCCTAGAAAACTGGCCTGGTGCTGGGAATAAACGTGTTCAACTAGTTGAAGAGACATAACACTATGATCAAGTAAACTTTACAGGTACTTACGTAAGGAGCAGATACCTCACAGTGAGGTTGACAACCCAACCACTGGTAAGCCATAACAAGTTCCAGTAGCTGGAAGCTAAAGTTTGAAAAGTTCCACCTCGGAATAAAATAGTTTCACAGCTCTCAGTGTAATTAAACATTGGAGTCTTTTTCCATCACCATCCTTTTCAGTCTTTAAGATGAGATCGTTTATCATTTTAAAAGAGGTGCTTGATTCAAGTCATGAGAAGAAATTCTATGTCTGTGTGTCAAATGTGGTGGCCTATACTGGGATCTGTTGATTTATGAGCCTTCCTTCTCAACTCCTTCCCTTATAGTTGTGTCAGAGCAATTTGTCTGCACCATCCTTGAAATATTTGCAGCTCTGCATTAAGACCATCTTCAAATCATGCTTCAGGGCCTTTGCGGTTTGCTCATAGGGGTCAGGAAGGAGTTTTTCTATCCTACCAGTGGTTGGTTTTAGGTCTTTTTTTCTTCTATTTTCTTTGGATTGTCAGAGATTGGCCATCACCAGAGGCTGGCTTCTTTGTAATGGGCTGGTTTTTTTGATATAGCAGAGAATACTATTTCTAGATAATTGGCTCATGTGTCTTGCTCACATTTTGGGATTCATCCTGATTGCCAGAGCTGGGAACTAATGGGCAGGACTATGGGGTTCTTCACCTTGCAGAGCAGCATGAGGAATGGATTTCTGCTGAAATAATCTGGGCAACTACCACCTAATCAGTCGTCTGCCATGTCTGTAGTCTTGGCTTTGACAGCATACGGTTGGGCTCTGCCTGCGGCACACATACAATAGGTCAGTCTCTAAAGGACTTCAGTGCTTTAGGCTGACTGAAGTTCACAGTGGTACGTGGATGAAGTGTAGTAGTTGTGATAACAGGTCAGATCAGCTGAATTTATGATTCCTTCTGGCCTTAAAACAAAGTAAAAATGGTGACATTATGTCTTTATATTCACCTTGCATTCTCACATAACTGAGGTTCAAAATATTTCCAGTCTGTGCTTTCAGAAGAAGGTTGGATGCTGGCAGATGCATGATTCACTCTTTGATTTCTGGCAACTGGGGAAACATCACCTAATTAGCCTGGGCACAGAGCCACGCTAATGTGGCTGTATTCCTTCTGGGATGTGAGCTAATATCTCCACATGACTCTGAGCTGTGTAGATACCCAAGTCATTCACAACTGTCTCAGGCATCTATGTGGCACTGCAGTGCTTGGTGTAAACATACCTAAGCCTTTTGCTAAGCTTGGCTCAGTAGAATTTCCAAATGGTTCTTCTGTAATAATTTGCCAAAAGTGAGAGCATCACTTTATCCACAGAGAAGATGGCAGTCTTCTCTGAAGACTTTGCATACCCCAGACTTGGATAGGTTACTTTGCTTATGTATTTTTATGGTTGCTTAACGCTAATCTCTGTTCCAGAACTTTGCAAAGTTCATCACATCTCTACCACCTTTCTTGATTTGAGGAAAACCTAAACCACGAGGTCCCAATTTCAAGTTTCTTTGTTTTGTAAGATAGGGATGATATGCTTATATACCCTTTCAAGTTTGAGCAGTTAGCAGTTGAAGATCTTTAAGTTGGGATTGTTTCTTTCCTTTGATTTGTATCTACTCCCTGCTTTCAGGTTGCTATGGGAAACAGGGTTTTATGTAAAGATACTGAAAGTGAGAGTTATTTCTCTGACCTATGATCTTTTTCTCCTTTCTGAGGTTCAGCTGTGTGTGCACTGTAAGTCTTATTTAGCCAGCCTTATGGGAATGCAGGAGTCTGTCAAAGAGAAGTTTTTTACTAAGCAGATCAATTAGGAAGATTTCTTATTCATGAAATTCAGCACACTCTTTGGATGAATTCAGTGTCTCATATAGCCAGTGAATGCTGGACTTCTTGAGTACAGCTCTCACTCAAAAGTATAAAGGCTTCGTTTGTGGCACTGACTTATCTTTTCTCCAGAAGTTGGGTTAATGCCATTTAAGCCCTTCTACCCCCAGCAGAGATAATGGACTTGTCTAATTGTTCTAATGTCATTAAATATCAAATATGTACATTCTGTTGCAGTTAAAGACCTTTCAAATATCAATCTAGATGGTACCAAGTTGCTAAAGAGTACAGACTGGCAGTCTTATGATTCATTATTGTATGAGTGTATTAATATTCAAAAGTTTCTGCTTTCCAAACAGTTGGACCTCCTGCCTTCAAGATGAGACTGACATCTCACTGGGATTCGAATTTTCTCTGGGAGGCAGTCTGGCTCTTGTTTCATGAAGCTCTTGAGTCTGAGTATTATACAGAAGCCTATTGAAAAGCAAGAACCTTTGATCAAGTCAAACAGTCTATGAGTTGAAAGAGATTCTCCCAAATGAGCATCTCCTAAGTGTGGGGCCCTGATAAAGTCCTCCTTGACTATTAATTTAGGCTCTATTTTATAATTCATTACATTTGGGATACTGAAAAAGCAACAAACCAACCCCTGACTTCTGCCAAGTGACATATGGTTGTCATCTCTGTTCAGCCTCTAATGCACAGATCAGCATTCCTTCTCTCCTAGGAATGATCTTATCTATAAGAGGATTGCTCTGTATAGCTCTATAAGTGCTTGAGGTGGTTGCTTTTTTGCCACTGATACAGAAGAAGAGAGTGAATGTGGTAGGCTTAAAATATGGCAAAAGGATCTTACGGCTATTCACTTTGTACGTAATTTTAATTTTCTAAAGTTTATAGAGGTGTAGGGCAGATTCTGTATTGTCCTGGTTTTGCGCTACGAGGCCACCCTCAGAGCCTGCCAGATTTTTAAGACATAAACCTGACCATCTCCTTCAAATTGGACCCTGACGATGGTTCTGCTGGCACCTCCATGCTGTGTGTCTAGAGGGACGTGGACTTTCAGACCATAAGTTTGTCTGTGCTGTGCCTCAGCCTGTAGTTTCACGATTGCTGTAAGCTAATCTTTGACTTAACTTTTATGGAAAAGGGCAATTTTCTTCTCTCTCCCTGACCCGTCTGCAGGATACAATCGCTTTCTTTGCGTTGATACTGGCAATCACAAAGTTCTCTGAACAAGCTGAAAATTAACCCTGCATGAATTGAAGAGAAATGTAATTTTCAGCCAGGAAAATTTTATTGCCAGGAGCATGAGAGCTAGTGGGACCACCCTTCTGGCATTAGCACTGTCCTATAGTGTGTCAGCCAATCGTGAAACCCAGCTGTGCTTATGTTCACGGAAAAAGATGTCGTATTTTATCTGATCAGAAAGTTTGGCCACTCTTCGTGGGGTGTCGGAAACTATTTCTTCAAACCTTTTGGAAAAACCTATCTGATATCAGGGGCGTCTGTCATGGTGCAAATGTGATTCCTGTAAAGCATATTACTGTTCATAATTATCCTGACCCTGTGTGTGGTTGAAGTCCTACATGCGTCAGAGATTTCAGCCCAGTCCAAGGCAACTTTAAAGAAAGGCGCCTTGTTGCTTTCGATGGCTGCACAGAAGACAAGCAGAAAACAAAACAAATACTATTTATTTCTCTCTAAAACATGTTTGAGGCAAATGAAAAATCCACTTGCCTCCTTTAGCTCTTTTCTTTCTTGAATACAATCGAAAATGGATGCTTGTTTTGGTAGTTCTGCTCCCCATGTTTGTCAAGAGGACCTCATCCTTCCCAGCCCACTAGAAATTAGGTACAATTACAGTTCTCTGGGGTGAGCCCCTGTTGTACACAAATCCCATCCTTTTTCATTGCTTCTTCTGCCTTTCTGCTTGGATTTTTGAATTAGAGGAAGGATCTCAGAGGAAGCCAGGACTCCATAGTTTTGGCCACCCTCTGACTATGGGGTGAAGGGCAAAGGCACCTGTGGCCACCAC